GTGTATGTGTATGTGTGTGTGTGTGTGCGTGTGTGTGTGTGCGTGTGTGTGTGTGTGTGTGTGTGTTAATATACTTTCTTTTGGGTTTTCAATTCAAGGATCAAAAAGCCAGGAAGCTAAAATTCTAAAAATATGTGTCCTGGTATGGCACCGCATATTCAGATTTTGCCTTCACGTATGGTTACTTCCCACGCACGGTAAAAGTTATGGTAGGGAATTAGTAATGCGGGAACCGTAAAAGATGCAACCGAAATTTTAAGATGTTTCCCGTCCATATGCGACTCCAAAATTTCAAATTCAGTTCTTATGAAAGTTTTGGCGCGGGGCCAGGAAAGTCAGGAAGCTGCGATCACCGGAGAATATTTTTGCATATGCCAATAACACAGACTCGAACTTAGCTTCCATGTATGTCTGCCTCATTCGTGGCAACCTGGGCACTGATATTTTGTAAGGATTTTTTCTGCTTATGCATAAACATATAAATTTAAATATAGCTTCTAAATACGTCTAGATCTCACGTTACGGTCATATGAGTTACTGACGAAAAATTTTCTGCCTCGAAAACCGGACGAGATGGAATGCTCCTTCTTGTTAATCTGTAATTTCAAATTCATCTTTCATATCCGCTTGAATTTCACGACAAGCATGCGCAAAATTTCACGTGCAAAAGTTATTAGTTCGGAAACCAGTCAACATGGCTGGAACTTTCGGAAGATGTTTTTTGCTCAGCCTTCACGTTTTTTACTCAGCTTTTTGTACTATTCTTGTGTATTTTGCAGGGCGACAATGGCGCTCCAGTGATGAGGAAATATAAGGGGCGCAATCTGTTATCCGGTGTCCTGTCCGACAGGAGAGGTATCGGGCGAGAATACGTAGGCCAATTTTGTGTCCCTTCATTTGTGTTGATTTTATCTTATTTTGCGCAGAATTTTTTACACTTACTTTGAACAGCATCTGCTTCATCATCGTGTTTCTTCTCGCTTTTGATGTAGCTGGACTTCTCTTTGTTCGGCTTCTGCCACGTGATATCAGATAGCGGATCCTTCCACTGTTTTGGAAATATTATCAGTGTTTTTCAGCATTGTGAGAGTACCGTTCAATAATCTTTTCCTTTTACTTTAGTTTATTGTGTACGGTTATATCTGCAATTTTTCCAGAGGAAATATATGTTTGCGACACATATCCGTTCTAATCTTGATTTCATTTGCTATTACACCGGAGTATGTGTAAGTGGCTATGACGAGTATTCGGACACCACCGTTTATCCGTCTAATCCGCCGGATGTGGTTATTATTCCGAACGATAACGTAAACAGAACTCTTGGCAACGGCATGCAATTTTTATTGTTGTTTTGGCTAATCTGTACCCGTTACCGCCAAATTTTTGCCTCCTAAATTTAACTGCCTTATTTTTAGACTTCACCCGC